AATACTATATGTTGCTTGTATTCTGTGTTTACAACGTAACATGTGTAGTGAAAAGTAGGCCGACTGCGAATTTTGGTGAAATCATTTCGGAATACAAAATCTGAAAATGCCCATTCTAAAAAAAAACCCAGACTAAAAGTGGAAATAGTGACCCTCTTTAAAATAAAAAGTGTTTGGGCGGCTGTGTGTTTTTGAAGAGGAGTGGAGCGAAATGAGTTAGGGTAGTAGTGGAGGTTGAAGTAAATTAGAACTACACACAACTACAGTACTCAAGATTACTTCTTACTAGTGATAAGAAGAATGTTTTAGAAACTTATGGAGCATCATAACCGATGGTAGGCTTAATCATCCCGAGTTTCTTCTTATTGCTTTTGCCAATAATTTTATTAACATATGAATTCCAATCAAGGGTATGATAATATATTAATTTCAAGATCTGTAATGAAATCATTTCTTTTGAAAGATATACCATCATAGGTATAATCTGAAATATTAAAATGCAAACCCAAGACTCAATGAGTAGACAAAGTCAACGTCCGTTTGCAAGTTTAATCAGACATAGGCCTACTCTTGATTTTCTTGAAACACTGGACAGAGCTGTGGGATTCTTTTTTAGTTTATTAAATATAACGGGATAAAATACCGTATTTATTCGAATGAACGCCTTTTGTATGAATTCCCGCTCTAGAGCCCTATTTGAAATACATGCCTTCCTTGATTAAACGCCCGGATTATAAGCCTTATCTAAATTTTCATGGCCGTCGGAAGCATTTTTCATGTGGTCCGGACATTATAATAAGAATGGAGGGGGTGGTGGGGTAGCTTTTGCCGAATGGCGGATTGCCGAGTCCATTTTACGATAATTAGGAACGATAATGAAATAATGTTTTAAATAAGTGGATCTTTTGAAACTCTTGTGGGTTGGGGTGCATCCGTACCCTTAAAACCCCTTCCACCCTATCCCTATTCCTGCCTACTGATCTGGGTAAATCATTTTTGTCTATTATAAATCTGTTTATTTCAAGATATTATTTATGTTAGTTTTAATTTTCTATTTATTTAATAAGTTTTTACTTTATTTCCATTCATCTAATTTTTAATTATTTCAATAATGTTAATGTTTCCTTAATGTGTCAATTGTATTTTTATTTACATTCTGTTAATTTTTTGTTAATGTTTATTTTCCTTAATTATTTTATAAAACATTTCAGTTAAATTTTTCTGTTTTAATTTAATTAATTGGTTGATAGCATCTAGTTAAATTTTTCTCTTTTATTCGTTTTTCCTTTATTGTATGTACCGAGGGTCACAACTTTTAGCGCTAGCTGGATAGACAACCCTCACAAAATATTAATGAAGAAAATAAATTAATGTTACCATTGAGTGGTTTTGGGTTTCACTTTTGAATGGGTTAGCTAAAAAGTACTTTTGGCGGATTTGGCATGCCATAATTATGTTTTCTCTTTGGCGCAGTTGTTTATTTCCTACGACTTTGCGCACACCGAGGAGAGGCCTTAGGCTAGGGCTAAAGCACGTTTTTTCCTATTAAAATCGTGCGTATAGGTCAAACTTAGCCATGCAGGTAATACAAAATCGTACATAATCTTTCTCTAAATGTATCTAATTTCTACTTTAACATATCCTAGGTAGTACTACTAGGCCAAGGCCTAGCAACCTAGCTAGAGAAGAAGACTGCCTAGCTAGGCCTAGCCTGGCATAGATAGCAGGACAACAAAACATAACAGGCACTCGCGGACCGGAGATGGCCCGCGGGCGCCCGTTGAGAACCTCTGGCTTAGGGTCGCCGGATAGAGAGACTTCCTGACAATCTCTGGCTTTCAATGTAAATGAGGGGAACCATTTCTTACCAAGTGGTTCTTACCTTAGTAGTGATATAAGGAGGCTATGAGTTAATACTCGTGGAAACTGCCTCCTTTCAATGTTTCCATGCGTCGGTCATGGGAAACTTTGAAATGGTGAAGTGTTGTGCATGAGACTACATGTTGTGGTAAATTGTTTCATGGTTTAATTACTTTGGTGTCAAAGAAAGAGTCTCTGAACACCGTTTTGTTTCGGGGAGTTAAAAGTTTATAAGAATGGCCACGTGTATGATGAGTCCTATGTTCAGGATGTTAAGGAAACGCTGAAAGTCGATATTTTCAATCTCATTAATTAGTTTAAAAACCTCTATGATGTCCCCTCTAATCCTCCTGTTTTTGAGTGAAGGTAAACCAAGAACATACAATCTATCCTTTGCAGTTAGATCCCGAAGGTTAGGAACAAGTTTCATAGCTCGATTTTAGACCTTTTTATTTCTAGGCCCAGAGAAATGCCACACAGGTTTGGTAGATGCCAGCCTATGTTAGGAATAACGTACATACCTGTATGTAGGCCTACATTCATACTTATTTATCAAAGCTCCCTGGTCTGGGGTGGCAGTAATAAAAATGAATTTCAATTTTGTAAAACAAAATTAAACATGAAAAATTAATTAATGTGTAGCCTAGGGCCTATTTAGCCCCAAACTATATATAGGCCTCTCCTAAGGGCTCAGAAGCCTACAAAATTGTTTTCATGTTCAATTTTGTAAAAGCGAATCCCCACTAAATGGCGGGTATTCCAGGCGGGTGTTCCTAATCTGAAATTACAATAATTTTAGACTGGTTCTGCTTTTTGTATTTTACCATATACCAGAATACAGGTATAATAAAATAAAATTGTATTTTAACCAATATTTTTATTTGATTACTAATGTTACAGTTTATTAATTAGTGTTATTTTTCTCTTTTACAGAAACAATGCAAATTTAAGTCGATTGGTTTGAGATCAGTGATAGTTAGGCCTTTTTGTTTATAATAAGTTTGTTTTCTTGTTTGTTGCGTTTCAATTACCATTAATGTTCTGATCATATGTTTTCATGTTAGTACGTAACAGTACTGTATCTATCCTGGTCACATAAACATAAGGGTAACATTTGGTTTTAACAGAGTTGTTAAACCAGGTTAAAACAAGAAATAAAAAAATAATATGTAGTGTGTTCTGTATTGAAAACAATGTTCTTTTCTTGCTGTCCCAGAAGTGAAGTGTGAGGTCGTGTACAGTACATTTTTTTTTATATGTACAGTAGTAACTTTTCAATTTATGAATGCTTCATAATAAAGGCCAATGCGTTTTGTTACGATATTGAATTAATTTGTTCAATCAACTATGCATTTATATCTGATTTTTGTAAAATATATGCAATAAAGTATAATACATACACAAGTATGGAAGCTCACGCCATCGTGTCGGGATTCAATATTTTGACAATAATTAATTATGTATGAATTAGGTAAACGCACGCATGTCATCTTTACTACCAATGACCATTACATGCGTTGCACCTAAAAATAACCAGTCGTCTGTGTTTAGCATCCATCCCTGTAGAAGTGCACCCACATTCGTAACTGGCGTGCAAAAATGTGTCTCCTTCACCCTCAAGTTTTCACCGTGAAAACCTGTTTGTGGGAACAGAACGATTCTTTCTGATATTTTTATAGTAATGGTCCAAGCAACTAGTACAGGTAATAGACCTCATCAGAGTGAATTTCTCCGGATTATTAAGTAAAGGAAGCCCGAAACGGCCATTAACATCATGTTAATAAACATGTGTGTATTTGTTAGTGTATTTTAAACATTAATCAGAATGTGTATCAAAATGGAAATAAAGATCTAGGAAGTAGAAAACTTGTTTTGCAGTGAGCTTCACTATTACGAGTACCGTGGGAACCTTTGGTTAGTCCATATTCCTTTATCACAGTGGCGGGGGTCCCAGAGGGGTAAATGGCTGGTACCTTTGAAAGAATAAAAATCCCATAATTAACACAAAATGTTATCAGGGACCCCTCGTCGGGGAATTCCTGGTGCGCCCTGCTTCATCATATCACAGTATTTTTTTTTATACATAGGCCTATATGTATTATTATAAACATGATCAGAACATTTATAATAAATGGAAAGGCAGCAAACAAGAAACAATCGTATGCAAAACAAATGACATGCTAATTTCATAAATCTCCATTTTATTAAGCATTTTAAACATGCTCAAATAATCGGGAAACGCAACAAACGATGACAATACGTGTCCAAACCAATCGACTTACATTTTCGTTGTTTCTGTAAAAGAGAAAAATAACATTAATTAATAACTGTAATATTAGTAATCAAATAAAAATAATTGGTAATACAATTCCAGGAATACCCGCTATTGAGTGGGGATTCCAGGGGGATTCGCGTTCACAAAATTTGCGATAATTAGGAACAATAGTGAAATAATTTAAAAAGTAGACCTTTTAATATTCGAACCTTCTCTAACAACAGTATACGTAGATGGGTAGTTCAGACAGGTCAAGTATTCAAGAATGAGGTAACTTTAGTTAGTAAAAGAGAATAAGGTGTTTTGTACATAGAATTTCTTTTATTAATAGAAGTGCTAAAATTAATTTATTAGTACACCTAAGTCAAAATATTTGTCTTTTTTTTTGTTACAGACTATATTCTAGACATTTTCAAATACATTTTAAATTTCATCCACAGCAGAATACAGTAAAAGCATTTGAAACCTCTTTAGATTTGATCATGTCCCGTGTTCAAGATCTGAAGCATTCCATTGGGTCATTCATCCTTAAGCTGGAACATGAACACCAAATGCTTAATTGGTAAATAGAACCTGTTTATCATTTCTTCTTCATTTGATTATTTTACAGTAAGATGAAACAATTGTTGGTGACCAGTTTTTTAAAGATTCAACCAGAGGCTAAAATATAGAGGCGGATTATATTAGAGCTTCTTCCACATCCACATATATATCCCTAATCTAAGGATGGTTTTGTTGGTAAATGTATCGCACCAAATTCTAGAGCCTCCAAAAGTAGACGATGCAACTCACCCAAACATGCTATATAACTTTTTGTTAGAATGTGTAACACCTTTTGTTTAGTTTTTAAGATAAATCTTATTCAAATCTTATTTAAAAGCTATTTGAGACTTGAAAATACATTATGTAGAATCGTTTGACTATCAATATTATGTGTTATATGGCGGAATAAGAAAAATTAAAGGAGCAAACAATTTTACATGATTTATATTCTTTTTCAGGCCTTCTGTACTTGACAGTTTTGCATTGTTATCAAGTGAGTTGACTGTAGAGGAATGGGAGTTCCAGAGTTTGGAATATATATATATATATATATATATATATATATGTGTGTGTTCTTGAAGTACAGTATTAGAAAAGTCTGACAAACAGTAAATGTAACAAAGAAATGATAAAAAAAATAACTGTTATTGTACAATCTGTGCATGTTCAAATCAGAAAAAACTTGCAAAATATATAGTGATTGTATAGTTATAAATTGCTTGCAACTCATTTTGTCATTACATGATTTTGGTCCTTTTGATGTGTGTAGTAAGCTGCATTGACCAAAAGTGTTGAATTAACTACCTACAAATGAAATAATTTGTGCATTATTCCTCAGTAACGACCAATAAACTTTCCCCCTTCCCCACTTTTTAGAATGTTAAAAAATTTACAATGCAATCTTACAGATTGTCTGAATGTTACATTATTTGTTTTTATTTGGTTTTCAGGTCAGATAAATATGTTGAATAAAGTTCTCAAAGGTGACAAGACTCCATCCCTTAGAAACATGGTTCTATTGCCTCTTGAACTATCTCTTGACCGAGATGAAGATCTTGAGGTTTGTACTTATGATAGAAAATTTCAATATAATATAAAACAACAAATACTTTACATAGATTACATACATATCTGCCAACTTCAAAATCTGTGATATTTTCAGACTGAGGTCTCCTCCCACTGGCTTATAGCGAAGGCTCAAAGTAGGGTGTGAGGGGTGAATCTATTTTTGCAATTTGTGCATTCTGGCTGAGTATACTGCAGAACCTAGGTCAAAATTATTCATACCAGACAGTGGTACCAGCCATTGGTCATCTGTCAACAAACTGTACTTGGCATGCCTATCAAATGAAATGAACTCAAGTGAACCCTCACTCTTTCCAGTCGTATGGAAACTAAACATTGAAGAGGTCAATTTACAGCAACATTATTATGAAACAAATGAGGAAGATTTAACTTTTAAAGTTTATCATAATTTGAGTAAAATGGCCTCTATTCTTAAAACCTCATTAATGTATGTCATTGGTAGGCATCATCTTGCCTCATGTCAGCTTTTGGATGAATGATTTTCATATGCATCAGGTTCTCAGTTATATCTCATTCGTTTTTGAAATACACATCAATCTTGGATAGTTCTTGTTGGATTTTTTTTATTGAATTGATTGTTCTGATTTGTATTCTTTTGTTGGCAAAAAGCTTTAATTATGGTGAATTGATTGTATTGAATTGATCAGTTAATTTTAATATTGATATATTTAGTAATTTCTGTGATATATCATTGTTTTAGTTAAAAATATGGTACTTATTATGAAATGTATCAATTTCTACAGCAACTGTACAGTATTTAATAAATATCCATCATCTTCAAGTTGACTTACATATCAATTGTTATTAAAATATTTATATAATTTGAATTTTCAAATCCATTCAGAAATTGACAGAAGGGAGAGTACCAGTTTTTAATCATGATGTGGTGCCAAATTATTTGAGAACAAAACCTGAACCAGAAATAGAATCAAAGAATCAACAACGCAAAAATATTGCAGCTCAAATTACCCCGGAACTTGCACAGGTATACATTCTAACATTTAGTCAGGTTACCATTGGGGGTGGGGGGCACATTCATAATTTTCATCATTTTCAAGAGTTCAAAACACACGCTTTAGGGTAGGCATATGCAGTGGTGTATCTAAGAGCCTTGAACTTGGTGGGGGTGGAGTGAAGTGCGGGGCTTGATAATTAAGTGAGTGTGAACTAGCTTGCAAAATAAGGTAATATGAGGGGATTTTTATTTGCTTGAGGGTGATTTTTTTGGCTTCAGACGTTAGAGGAGTGGATGTGTTCGCAACACACCTAGATATGCCACTGGGAATATGTACTACTTATGAAAATATAAAATGATGATCTCAAAATTACAAGTATCTTGTTATTGTGTATTCTTTCGGGGGAGGGGAGTCACAGAAAGTAGTTTTCTGTTTCTTGTACTCTTGTATTAAATATGATGAAAATAGTGGATGACCCCAGCACAGAGTATATCATTAAAGCCTATGGGTAAAAGTGGGGAACTTAATAGGTGTAAGCTTTGAAAGATTGAGATACTTCAGCCTTAAGATACTACAGTCGAGTCCGCTGAAGTCGACTCTGTTCAAGTCAAAAATTAGTGTCAGTCGAATTTTTGAAAAGTCCCAATTCTTTCCTATGTAATTACTGTGTTTGTTTAATTCGAATTTTTAAAAGTCAAATTTCGGTTATATTGATGGACTTTTCCGGTCCGGATAGGCCGATTTTAAAGTAAATTTAACCACACAAATCGAAGTTCTAAATTTAATAGTGCACATGGGAAAAATACACAGCCGCGTGAAAATACAAAGTTCAATCCTTGTTGTACAGCAACAAGTTAGCCATGTCAAAGCTAACATCTCTGACAGCGTGCTGTGGAATGATGGCTCACACGATCGTACAGTATGTCGTAAGTTGCAGTCTACTCTCACAATACAGACACCCCTCTGGGCCGGCTCCAATGTTCGGTTTTTTGTCCTGTTTCCTGAACCCATTTCAAACAAGATTGTTGTAGTCAGGGCCTAGCTATTTAATTAATTTATCAAAGCCCTGGATTTTTTTTTACTAGGCCTAGCCTAGGCAAATATTTGACACATTTAACATAATACGTACAGTACCTGTTGTTTTGCTGTACTGCTCAGCAAATTTAATTATTACCAATAAAATTGATGCGACTTTTATATTGTTTTTTACATACATTTATTTCTTTAAGTCTGATATGTTTTTCCAAGCACACATTCTTCGTTGGGCAATGCCACTTGCTGGTCGGCAGTCTAGTTGTAAACAGGTCACGCCCCTCAAAACTTTGCCTGCCCGCCAATTGGTTCATTTTCATAGGGTATTTTGCAGACATGTGCTTCATTTGTGATGACGTCAGATCACCCAAACAAAACAATGTCTATTTAACTATCATTGGGTTTTTCCAGTGAATGTTACTGTCCTGAATTGGACAAATCATCCGAGATTCGGAATAGGGAGTTTTTGGAAAGTATTTTATTAAAGGAAGAATAGGAATAATTTTGGGACTTAAAAAAATGTTCGGTCTTGCGTAAAATTTGATTTTGTGGGCATTGAGTACACATAGTATTGTTCTATGTTAATGTTAATATTTTTTTTTTTCGAAAATGTTCAAGTCGAAATCTGTATAACTCGAACTTTTTATGCCAGTCCCATTAGATTCGACTTCGACGGACTTGACTGTATATCCACTTGTGTCTAAAGCTCAACCATATTGTTGGTTGACTACCGCTCCAGAATTTTTTTAATAGTCAACCTCTAACTATATATGAAGCAGCTTAGCTCAGTCGAGTAACCTTGTGGTAGCCACTGTGTGTGATCTCTAGTTCTCCGGTTCAATTCCTATTGCTGCTCAGCTGTAGGGGATTGTCTCCCGGTGTGCTGCCAAATTCACCACCAGAAGGATCCCGAAACAAGTCTTTAGACTTCTGGGTTATCCTGGGTGTGATTCACACCGAAATACTTATTTATTTATGTTTATGTTTATATTATTCTGCTGAAGGAGTAGAGAAATTATGATTTTAAACCTTGATTTATTCTTGTTTAGAAACAAATTAATAGTCTGAATAAAATCACTGGGCGTTTGCTAGATCACCTGAACACTGCAAAAGAAGACTGGGAAACTGACTCTTCTAGTAAGTATGTGTTGTATATGTGTTGATTACACAGATTATAGTTTTTCATCTCAGGAGGTCTCTCAGGATGTTGTGGAGGAAAAATTGCTTAAAGCCCCATTCCCGGCAAAATTTCAGTTTTTAAGAAAAATCTAATTTTTGTATAATGTTATAAAGATTTATAAATATAATACGGAATTGCTAGTTTAACTGAATTTAGACATCCCTAAGAATGAAAAAAATGTAAAATAAGACTGAAATTTGATTTTTTGTGTTCCACACAAAAAATAAATGCGGATGAATTTTCATGTTTGATTTTGCGATAGGTCGTGAGAAGAATATCATAGGCGCCGAAAACATAAGACTATCCAATGCTGCTAGGCTAGGCCTAGCCCACAAAGCATGGAATATTCACATGCTGGTACAGTGACGTGATGTTTTATTTTTAATTTCACATCCAACAGCAATTACACTCACCACTTAGAGGATGGAATGCTTTATAAACCTATTATTGATATCATCAGTTTTGTAAACATATACAGTGTTGCATGTTTTAAAACATCATATTTCAATATGACTGTTATTCATAGACATTCATATACATAAATGCGAGAGTATTCCAGTGGATGCGATCTACAACCTCTGAATTTGCCTAGTAACGATGAATTCATCGAGAAAATGGTAATATTTTATGAAAAATAGTCTGTATTTCTCATTTTTTTTATTCTTTTGTGTAAACCTAAAATTCATGCCAATATTTTTCCATAATTTATAATAATTGGAGTAATGCAAATGCATATTTTCTAAAAAAAGTCAGTTTTTAGTGAAATTTTGCCGGGAATGGGGCTTTCAGGAATGCTTGACAAGGCTGCTGGTTCTGACTGTGGCAGTTGTATATTTCTGAAACTAGCAGTCCCCTCTGTGTCTTTAGCTTGTCTACATTTTCCCCATTTATTTCTCAGGTTCTAGACTAAATATGACAACAGACAATAGAGCTGATACTCAAAGTTTAGTTGGAACCATAGCACTTGGTAAGGGGATCAAGCAAGTCCGACAACAGACACAGCCCACACCCAGCCAAGCAGTCATGCAGCAACCAAGACACGTGGATCAACATAGTATGTCACTTTCATTCAAATAAATTTTTTAACATCTGCTGTCAAATAACTACCATGAAATATTTTATTGAAACACAACCATTACATCAACATAACATTTATTTACTGTTGTGTTCTGAAATTTTAGTTTACCAACTTAATTTAGTTTGAAACTTCTGCCACTACCGAGGGAACACCAGTAGTCTAACCAGTAATATTTTTTTCTTTCTTCAGTACACAAGCCCCAGAGCACTGTAAGAACACACATTCGACCTGGAAGTTCTGTTCACCCTTACAACAGAACATGAAATATTTGGTGATTGCATCAATATGGCATAACTGAAGGCATTTGGAGAAATGTGTTGCATGTGGGTGTCACTTAGAGGACCTTAACATGGAAATGTACAAACGTCAAAGGCCCTATACAAAAATCTTGCATTGTGATCATGGCATTTGTCATAATATTGACAATGCTTGTAGCATTATACAGTATGTTGCCATGGGAAGGGGATTTGTGGTAATGCATGAAGATGTGTTGGACAGGATTTTAAGTTAGGGCATCTGTATAATTATACAGTAGCAAACCCAGGTTTGAATCCAGGTTGGGGGAAATTATTTCACACAAATTCTTTTTATTTTTAATATCTATGATTTATAAAACAATATCATACAAGATGGTTTAGAGTGTATCGCTTTATGTGTACAGTTTTAATAAATCAAGTGATTCTTCAAAGTTCCTGTCTTGTCATTTGAAATGCTTAAGAGGAGGGCATACCACATTGATTTCTGTTTCAGATGTGTGTGGGTGTGTGTGTTTCTTGAATACTAGTGTTTAACACTATATAAGAAACCAATTGCCTCCAATCCAATTTAATTTTTTTTTTATTACGGAAGCCTAGTGAACCAGGGGTATTGTTTTGGCATACACTGTAGTTGAACTTATTTAGCTGTTAATGATTTATTTAATGGTGTCAACTTAATTTTAAAAATAATAAAGTAAAAGCAAAGTGCAGTACGAGTCAGTAAAAATGCAGGCGCGGCTCCAGCGGGGGACAGTGCCCCCTGTCAGTCAAGCCGAAAAATAAAAAAGAGGGAGGAAAATTTGAGTTAATATTTGACTATGGCATGCCCAAAAATAGACTTGTCAAACTCTTCTGGGAGTTACCAGCCATATCGAGTTCAGTTACAAATTGGAAAATATATAAGTGCTAGAGAGAACTTCTCATGTTGAAATATACGAGAAAGAAGCAAAGTATGATGCTCCCCCCCCCCCCAGATATGACCAACCGCTAATCTACAACAGACAACAGTAGTACGTCACTTGATGACAAATAAACCACCATTTTACGGCTGATGAAGGTACAGTAAGCCACAGGGGAAAATATTAAGTCATAACAACAGATTCCAAGTTGGTCAAATTTGGAAATTCAGCTCCTTATGTGTATGGGGCTCGATCCTAGATATCGTACTATATAATCAGAAATAGTGGGTTATATGAGAAAGAAGAAGAAATGGAATGGAGCATAGTGATTAAAAAGAGAATATTGACATGGTGCAGTGAAATACACTAAAACAATTTCAGAGAACCACAAGAACGTGTGTAAAGGCCTGTTTATACTTCAACGATAATGATAAAAAAGCGATTGTTAATATAGAAAACAAAAGAAATAAGAGAAGTTTTTACACTAGGAAGATTCGTTAATGATTTATCGTGTATACGATAACAAAATATTTAACAAATCAAATCAGACGAAGTCATAATCATGGAAAAACGATAAAATCGTTGCTACTACTACGATTTTAATGTTTTTCCATGATTATGACGTTATCGCATAACTGATAAATCGTTATTGAATCGCTCTAATGTAGAAACTTCTTTCTTTCATTTTCTTTATGAACAATTGCTTTTTAGCTTTTTTATCGTTATCATTGAAGTATAAACAGGCCTTAATGGTATGATAAAAATAGCTTGTTACAACACAAAATCCAAGAAAAAGATTGACAATACGAACATCTTGTTAAATGACCTGAATTTGTTCTCCAAATATTTTGATGAATTATAGGCCTAACTGCCCTACTCATGAAGTGCTTTGAAAAGATTGTTCTGTTAAAGTCTATGCTAGCAGATCAAAGTATTGCTTAAACAAAGATCAGTTTGCAAATTCAAGGTGGAGTTCCCCCTCCTAAATTTTTCTAAATTGGAAATAAAGTGGAGTAAAAAAAATAAAAATTTTACTCAAATTTTAAGTCGGAGAGTTATTTCCAGCCATCTAGAGGTAACATATAATCACAAATTTTCTTACCGCAGCCCCAACCATGGATGGTGTAGACCCTCCATCTAAGAAAGATCTTCCCTGTGGCCCTCTATTTCAAATTCTTGGATTCGCCACCAAATAGGGGCGTTAGGGATGCTGTTATCACCTTGTTACATGAATTCTGTTCTCACCTTGAACTGGCTTTAACTTATGTTCAAATACTCTATAGAGACCAATACTCTGTTATTTTGTGGATGAGATTCACTCAACTATCAGTTAGGGTTTCTTCAGATAGGTATGGTCTGCTGGGTCTTACGTAATGATACACTCCAGTCATTTTCAGAAGTATATGTGTCATTGTTTTATCAATCTATATCATTCAGTCAGTCCTAACCTTTTGTTTCACGGTCTCATCAAAGAGAATTAAATAAAACCATATCAAGGGTAGTATATAAATATTAGCACCCCCCAAAAAAATCATGCTGAAGCTCAAGCAGTGAAGTCACCTTATTTTGCAAGCTAGTGCCCCTCACATAATCATCGAGCCCCCACTTCCCCTTCGTGCCCAGTGGTGGCACCAGCAGAGAGAGGGGGGGGGGAGTGCAGAGAATCCCTGTTGGACTGGCCTGGACTTCTTCTCCAAAGACGTCATCAGATCACAAAATTTTAAAAAAATTATTTGATTATTTGCCTATCCAAATTACAATCCCTAATATTGTGGTCTAAAAGCCCAATTTGGCCCATACAGTAAGCCATAAAAACTGTGTCTGAACCTTACCAAGGATTTTTTTATTTCAGGACCCAGACCGAGGCTCTACTCGGCCCCTAGGTAAGGTAAGCAGTGCATAACGTGCTGCCCTTGACAGTCCGCCACTTGTGCTAGATGTTGTTGAAGGGAATTGAAGGCTGTTATTTGATATTTATGAACCTTTCAATTCTAGAACCATGGTATAATTTCTGTAACTTCATGATGGTGTCAATCAAAAGACAAATACAAGATAAACACATTTTCACCAATTAAATTTATTATAAATAATGTCAAATTACACACAATAATGCCTTACAGATGATCTCTCAACATGATCTGAATAACACAGCAGTTTGGACCAATTTTTAAAATCAGGTACATAAATAAAACACCCTAAAAATTTAGTTTACAGCAAATTAGTCTTTCATTAAAGAGCAGACCAAACACCTACCTCTCTAGGAAAAACATGTTAGTATATTCTACTAAAATTAAATAACGGATGTTTGCAAGCAAGTGTTAATAATAATCCATTAACACATTTGCAAGTCCAATAAAGACCAGGTTTGAGTTTTGCCTGTGTAACAAAAATCACTGCAGTTCTAATACATTATCCAGGGGCAAAAACCTTTTTTTATAAGGGACTTTTTTTTCTACATAATGTTTTTTGACCAATCATAGCAGCCTTAAAGTTATGACCTAGCTGCTGCAGCATCAGCGTTGTATTGTTTTTATCACCGCATACACAATTGCATGTATGTGCCTTATAATTTGACTGACAGGCAATGGCTACCAGAACCAGAATGGTATTGAAAATTCAAACAAATACTAATAATTCACATGTCCTTAAATATCTACAATTTAAACATGCTAAAACAAACCTTCATTCTAAATATAAACTAATACAGTACATAATAAAAATGACAAATGTAAGTGCTATGCAATAGTACAGTATTGATTGATTATTGTATTCAGAGTTTATGCACAAATAATTTTTAAATATTCTTTGCAAAAAATCATGAAAATTAGTTTGAATTCATTTTTTTTATTTAAAAAATCAAGAAACATGAACTGCTCCATTGTCAGTAAGTAATCAATAAAAAATCAGTAGAAATAAATCCAATAGCAGAACTATTGTATTTAAATGTTTAAATTTATTGGCAGATGTACAATTGAATAAAAATATAAATACCGTAACTTTGAATATCAAAGACAATGTGGTAATGTTATTGTCACATGATATTCAGACATGTCAATCAAGATTAACAATTGATAATAGCTGTAATTCATAGATGGAATCCTCTGTATGCAAAATAATATAGGATTGTAGGAAAGTAAATACATTCGCAGTGGTAATCTAGCAGTGTGATCCTAATAATTAAGTACAACATATGTGGTCTACCATAATGCAGATGTAGGACATTGATTAGAAAAACAGGAATGTAGGCCTAAAATGGTAAGGCTGGAATGAAGACCTACTGGCTAGATAAGAATTTTTTTTATTTGTTGGGCAATAGAATATACAGTATATTGGGGGTATTTTAAAATTTCAATGTGTGGATTTGTTTTTCCAGGATGGGCAATGATCACTGTCATTATATCAACCCCAATAACCTATTAGTATCACATCACATTACCAGAATCTCAAAATTTACACTAGTATTCAAAATACATCAGAATATACAATTTTTTAATGCATGCTAAATGAGAAATGTATTATTAGTTTTTAAGCATTGCTTTACAGTAAAAATGTGCCCCTCGAAAATAAAATTACAATAACAATAATGCTGAAATACATGTGAATTAACAGCATTTTATAGAACATCATTCCGCAAACTTATAAATTCAAACATGAGTTGCGACCCACTGACCCCTTACACACAGATGCCTAAGTCAGAAAAAGCTAGGCCTATATTGTGCGTATATTATGCAACATGTGTTTCATTTCAGTTTTTTTTTACCTGCCCTTCGTTATTTTTTGTTTACGTCAATATGTATCATTAAGTTGTAAATAATTTATTAATAGAATCTTACATTATACAGTTAAGTTTAACACGGAATATCAATACAAAATAACACATTTCTCCATGTATATTAATGCCGATACCTTGATCGTGACAGATTAGAGCTTGCTGATTTTAATACTTTTAATAATTAATACGGTAATGTCTAGTTCGTAACCCACTAAAACAGTTTGGTGACCAACTGGTGGGTCGCGTCCCACAGTTTGCGGAACATTGTCGTAGACTACAGTACTCCTACATTTGACAATTTATTTACCTTCATGTCATTGTATTCGAATAGCACATCTACCCCCCACTGTATATCGTTGATGATTGGTATTTATTCTTATAAGGAAAAATATCATATGAAGCAGTAATATTTAATTTAAATTCAACTAAAAACAAATTGATATCATTCACCAATAGAGTTTATATTATTTGGAGGATAAAAAGAACAAAGAGAAAATATATAACAAATGCCAATACTTTTAACTGTTATTTAACACATTCCATAATTTCAAGGATAAATTCATAGGCTATGTTCAGACACAATGACTTACGCTAGCGCAACATTAATCGAGTGGTGTGAACTTGTGCGTGGCGTACCAAACGACAGTATTATCAAGCAATCACTGGTGAATGGTAGTCCAGCAACAGACCCCAGATTAGCATACACCACCGAGTTACAACAGTCATGCATCAATGATTTTAAAATCGCCCAGGATTTGACCAATTACAACAAGCCAAAATGTGAACAGGAAATAAAACACACCATTACGAATATGAATATTTTGCTTGAATACTTACGCTTGCATTCGTTAATCGCCCGGTCTGGACATCTCGCTAGTTACGCCACGGATAACGTACGACTGGCGTATCTGTCAGGTCTGAACATAGCCTTAGTAAAGTATAATTGGCTGGCTATTATTATTATTCAATGTTCTCATTAGCTGATCATAATGAAACAGATTGTTTACTCAAGTCAATAATTTTGAAAACTTCATGGACAAATAATTTCCTGCATTTTTAGCCTGGGTTATATATTTAACAACTATCAAAAGCCAACACCAATCAACAACCTGAATTGTCATTAGTAAACTGTTAGTTACCATGGCACATTCTGCTGATCTTTGAACCAATCAGAATCTCTGTTGTTTGGTAACACGGCCGAGGTTTCCTGTAGATACTGACCGACATCGGTAGTAGCGACTTGTGCACGCGTATTTGATAAATTGTATGGAGATGTTTGTGGTGCGGAACTCTGTTGAAAAATGACGGAGCCCATTTGGATGCCAACGGAGGAAGGAATCTGAACTGTTTGTTGAAGATGAGTTGCTCCACCTGGTAGAACGCCAGTGTGACTGATAGGATCTGAGTTTACTGTTGACAAAAAAGCACAATAGCAAAGTAGGCTAGCTGACCCTAACCAACGCTGCGCTGCCTTAATATCCTACAAGCACCACAACACTTTCAGTTTTACTGTCCTGCGTGATGCAAAGGTAGAATAAAAGTAGGAATTTTTTAGTCTTCTTTCAATTATATTTGGCTAAGACTACATTTCAGATTAGTGTAACTGTTAACACCCAAAAAAGATTGTACAGTATCAAAATCTACTTTATACCTAAAAAATGTTTGTTCAAAAGTGTTGTTTCTTTAAAGTTAATTGAATTATGTACATCATTGATTTTATAGCACAGTAATATAAATGCTGTAAAAGATACTGCTTTAGAAAATATATGGTAAACAAAAATTGCCAATTGAACCGTTTGGCCATTATCATTTTATTTTTTATTACTTTAATCCTGATATTATTCCACTGTTTAAGTAGCGGAAATTATAACGAACCAGGACTGTTCAAACTGCAGTACTATTTCAGAGTGTCAATCAAACCTAACAACTATTAACTGACCAATTAAAAAAGAGCCATAATATGCCTAAAACATTTGATTGAAAAGCTATGCTTCATACAATTAAAAAAAACATATGTTCCTATATTAAAGAACTGTAATTATAATTTTTTATATGTTTATGTTGTGTTAACTGTGCTAGGCAGCAAACTAAACCAAATTTAAATGTTTCACTAATACTAATACAAAAGCCTGCTGACTCCACTTACACTACGAAACATCAAAATCCAAAACTAACTACTTACCTATAGGTATAAGGTTAGATTGCATAACATTCAAAACATTTCCATAACCATTGACCACTGATGGTGACACTTGCAACTGATTCCAGTATGAGTCACTCGGTGACACTGTCTGCGAGGAGGGGGGAGCAGCAGGTTGTTGACCAGTGTAATGAAAGAATGGGTTCTTCAGATCTAAGCGATTTGTTGATTTGATATTAGAGTCTTCAGCCTGTAACTCCATGTCAATATCATAACTTTGTCTGGAAATTAAGAGAGATTCCTCCATTAGCTGCACATAGGGTTTAGCATAGTATTTGTAGTGAGATCAAAATGTACAGGATGTTTTTCATTATACAGACACAATCTTACCTTTTATTGGCTACCATAGTGACTTTCCCTCTCAGTTTCTTACCAGCTTTGATAAATATTGGAGCCTTCAGTAGGCAACGAACTTGATACCAGTGGGTTAATGGTTCTGTCGGTGAAGTTGATAACCAAGTAGTATTCCTGAATGAAGTTAGCACAGAAGTTTTGTATAAAAAATCAAGAACAAAAATTACTTTGTTGTTTTTCAAAAAAGGTTTCCATGAAATAATAAAACTATTAAAGGTATTATTTATTATTTTTTTATTAATCAATTTCATGGATTTTTGTATCACATTTCTCCCAAAAATACTCATATTTAATTTGCCTAAGTTACAGCGAAATATCTTCGCAAATGAAGACTAATAGCAAATGAAGCAGTTTCTCCTGCACATGCTGGCAGAATGTTGCTGAAGACTATAAATGCCTTCAAAAAGGACTGACCTTTACAAAAGAGCTGACAGATTACCGAACAGAACACAAAAATAATAATTTCAAATGTAACTGGTAATTTCAAATGATCAATTACAAAATACATGTATACTTACGTTGTGCCAATGAAGGCAATATCAAACCAAAATGCCAAGCCATGTATTGAGCCTGTCTGATGAGCTGTGAACTCTAAGGGGATTTCTATGCGATGAAGATCAGTTTCATGTGTCTTTAGAAAGTCCACTTCATGCTTGATTGATTTTGCTAAGCATATTCTTATATCAAATGTGTCCTACAGCGGAAAGTTAAATCTATATTAGTAATAGGCAAAAAAATGTGGGAAATGTTGAACATTATAAAGTTTCAATCATTGGTCTGATTATTGCTAGAATGTAGACTTACCACAATTGGTTGACGCAAGTATTCCTGAAGAGCTGATTCACGGATACTTGTAAGATCCACTCCATGGAATGACTGTTGATACCTGTAATAAGTTTAGACAAACATTAGATCATGTCATGTCATACAATTACATATCAAGATATTAATCCACGTTTCTAACTTTCTTAGGTTTTGCCTCTCATATTTCATCAAAATATAAATACATATTAATCCAGATCAATGGTTAAATTACTTAACATCTCCAAACCACTTGAAGTTATTTCATGTTTCTAGTTTGGAACTAGACACTCATGTCACATTTTTCATAAAATCTGTAACAGTTGTATTTCTGATTTTGTTTCATCACTTATTAAAACAACCTTGGAACACAGTTCAGCAGTATAAGCACATGACACCTTTAATAGCCAATTCATAACCAAAATCATCTTTAAATGTGGGACTGTGATGTGAGGCTGTTGGTAACTATGCATGTTTGAATTGGGTACAGTAAAATATTATATGCCTAAAACCTTGTGATTTAGATGGTTTGAGCATGTAGGCCTTGGCCTTATTTGTTAATACTTTTTGCAATTAGTATTGCCAACTGTCTAATAGTGTCATCTGACATCCAGTTTCATACTTAACAAAAATTTGTGACTGTGAAGCTGAAAAACAAGTTCATGTGAAAAGCATGGGGTTTACAGTAAAAAATTCTGTCATTGTATGTGACTTACCAGAAATTAGCTTTGTTAAACTGCTCCATATATAAGCTATCATCAGTGAATGGGGCAATGTGCAAGTCTCCTTTTGTTGGGAACATTTTACCTAGAAATTAAAAAAAAATTGTACTTAAAACCAAAATTGAAATTGCAAGGATATACGAATTCATCTCCAAATATTAATAAATAATAATATGTTATATTTATATAATATAATTATATACTTAATGCCAACAAGGCCTCTAAGCGCTTCACATTACTACTCCCGGTCATTGAATTAGACGCCTATGGAACACAAACTGTTCCATAAAGTTGCAGCAGCTACATCAGCGCATTTTAGCATTTAACCCTACCAGGTACCCATTTATACTCCTGGGTGAAGAGAAGCAAGGTAGATAAAGTGTCTTGCACAAGGACAAAAACAAAAATAATAATAAGATAATACAAAATATGATTTAATTGCATACACTATTTCTGACAAGGCACTGTCATTTTTTTAGGGAATTTACTCTATTATAAACTAATGAATGTGATCCTGTACATGTATTGCTCTTTAAACAACATACAGTAGTATATCATCATGACTGTAAAGCAGGTTACCTCCAGGTTTAAGCCACTTTTTGGCATGTAGGTAGCTCTCCAACATCCTCTCATTAAACAACATGTATCCCATTGGTTCAGAGATGATAATGTCCACTTGCTCTGGAAGTTCAACTTCCTCAACTTTTCCAGGAATCACAATTATCTTGTCCTGCAGTTTATTGTTGTCTACTAAAACCTTTAAAATTTACACAGGTGAATAAGAAAAATAGTATGCACAGAACATTTTAATATTGTATCTAATCATAATTAATACTAATTAATTCCACCCAAAGCACTTGCAAATTTTTTTCGCTGGTATTTGGGGACATACTGAGTATTCGGTACGATAACACATCAGGTAGGGCAAAACATCACTCCCATGATTAATACATTATCAACACAATAGGTCAATGAAATATCAATATCTAAATTACAAGACTCATTTATCCTTTTAATTTTGGTTTGAAGAGAATTATAATTTTTATGAGAGGATTGTTTTCCTATTTATTTCCATCACAATCTGATTACCTTTCATTTTGACTATAGGACAAAAGTATTTGAACAATGAAAAAAAAATACCTTTGTGTATTCTGCTATGCTACTTGCCTCTATAGCATATACTTTAGCTGCACCAGATTGAATGGCAAAGAAAGATAAAATACCTGATCCAGCACCTACATCTAACACAACCTATTGAAAATGGTAAAACATTCATCACAACAACAGTACTCTTTGCATATAGTATGTAGATTTTATATACACGATATACTATCTGTGATGAAATAAAAACTTGAAAAAAATATAATAATTGCTTTATTATGTTAATGGATTTTAATTCAAAATTAAAGCTACTACCTACCCATATTAAGGGGATACTTATACATGAAACGAGGGTAAATATATTTTAACACTAAGGCCAACCCTAATATTAAGGAGACACCCCAATTAAAAGGGCAGGATCATTTTCTGCCAAATGGTCAATAATTTCTTAGATTTTTTTTTTGTCAATTCTTAATATATATATAACTATGCCATATGTGAATTTCATTCATGTATCTTACATATTTTTGGTACAACAAAAATGAAGATAACCAGTGTACTGATTTCCCTTGCATCTGTCCTATACTCGGCGAGTCTTTTGCCTACCACTGGAGTGCGCAGCCAGTGTTTCAGCCAGGCCAATGCAAACAATGAAAGGGGTCTATAAGAAATTTTCACTGTACCTTTTGCCAAGCAAAAAATTAGTAAGATATTTTCTTTAATTGTTAATTTGGCGGTTTTTCCATAAGTATGTTTTCAGTTTCCTTGACTGGAGGACATTAATGTAAAGATGAACCTAATTGCAGCTAATGATTTTAAATGTTTATACATGTACTTTATATGCTGGTAAAACATTACAAAAATGGTACTATTTTGTAGTATGTGATATTTATGTTACAGATATCACCGGAAATTGTAATTTGAAAATTTGGAATTAACCATTTAAAATACTACGCAATATGGCTATTATAATATGAAAGAATCTATTGCAACATTGGATATCAAAGGGAATTCTTCATTTTAATTTTACCTTATCCCTGAAATCATCATGATTTTGTAACATTGCCTTCTGATAAGTGGAGGTTCTGATATAATCTTGCATCATGTTCTGTTGCTGTGATAAATATCCATAAAACTAAAGTAGAAATAAACAAAGGTGTTTTAGAATGTACATACATTTTTAAAGTCTTTGCTTCTATGTTTAATATTAACTATTATCTATGGAAGTGTATAGCGAAATTGTGTAAGGTGCTGGGCTTTCAATTGGAAGGTGAGTGGTTGTAGACCAATGCTCGTCACATTGCTTGTGTCATTGGGCAAGACATTTTATCTTTATTTGCCTCTCTTTACCCAGAAGTATAAATGTACCTGGTAGGAAGTGAATTGATTCGGAATGAAATTAATGCTGATTACATGCATAACTAGGAATACTTCTCAGGGAGCAGAGCAGGTTGCACTTGGTGTATGATTGATTCTGAATCCAATGGCCAGGGAAAAAGAACCTTCTGTAGTTTTCTGGATGTGCACTACAGTATATAAATCCTATTAAATAATTATAATACCACCTACTGCTGTTGACATGTTATAACGATACATCCAAAAAACTGATAGAATGATTTATTTACAAAATATTTAAATGCAATGATAAGTGATTAGACATGCGTGTGACTGGAAATAATTTGGAGACCTGCCAATGCTATTCTTCCATATCTCCTTGGATAGTATTGTATTTTTTAGTCTAGTTGGGCTGGATGAATATTTTTCACAAATAACTTTGATTTGTGTTGTTATGTTCAATGGGCTTTAAAATATGTAAAATGATATGTAGAATATGTGGAAAAACAACATAGGATACATTGTTATCCAAAACTGTTGATTAAATTTATGTTTTATTGAAGACCTGTTGTAAAAGCACTCCTTTGCCTTAGAGGTTACCTGAAAATACTGCACAGCAGAAGCCTCATCTGTCCGTTCATCAAATAAACTTGACGCTACCTGTGAACTGTTGAACTTTGCACCTTGTACTATGTTGTGAAACCTTGATGTTTCTACGAAGATACAAATATTCAGTGATCAACTGTAAAAATTAATGATTTAAGCCCACTATTTTTTAAATATAAGCTTTTGAAAAATCATGTACAGTTTAACTTGCCTAAGTCGACTGTGCGTAAGTTGAATAATTTCTAAGTCGTCTTAATTTACATGCCAAATTGTTGCGTTTTCCATTAATTAACATTCTGGAAGTCGAATTTTATCTAAGTCAAACAATATTTCAATGGCATTTTGGATTCGACTTAGGCAAGTTCAACTGTATTTGCAGAAAAAAACATTTATTTACAGTTTATGTTTTCTTTAAATAAACAATTATTTAAATCCTATCAATTACCAAAAAAAACCCCCCAAACTGTGTATGACAGAATATACAAAAAACATAAGTATGCTTACTGTAGTCCTATTACAAATCTAATAACAAGCACACAAACCAAAAAGACAATGATCTTCATACAAGACCTGTACTTTTGATATTTGAAACAGCACCCATTTGTTTAATCAGAAAGATCCCACCACTTAAATGTAAGTGTAATTTTTGTACACTCTTCTTCATTCTTCATTGTCTAATTTCAAAACATGCTAAAGGAGCAAATGTTCTAACTACTCTGTGGTGGTTGAAACTTGTAAACTTGTTTTATTTTACGGTACTTAAATTCTACATTTAAAATATTAGTTATTTTTATATTGTATATCTTACCAAATTCTGTTGGGAAGCATATAAGCACTCCACTATTGTGGGTATTCACAACGTATGTCAACTTCGTAGCCTGGCAACATTCTGTCTCATTATTGAGTATAAATCTAAGCAGTGGCTGAAATTCTGTAAAGATAAAAATGTAAAATAAAAATCATATAAACCAAAAATAAAAATAATGACAATAAGATTAGGAAACACTTTTAAGTTAACCGATTTTATATAATTTGAGAATTTATATAATTTGAGAATTGATTTAGCACAATCAGGTACATAATATTCAATTTTTAAAATTACGAATCTCATGCGCATTCATCACCTAGACGCTCTAAACTAAATTTGTGATGACGTGCCTGGTGCATCGCTACATTAAGTTTTTCTACAGGCAATGCCATAGATCGGATTGTTCTAGACAAGTTCTTTGCATTATTACTATCCTTGTATTCGTATACAAAATTATATTGAATGGCCCAAAAAGAAGAAATAGTACCGATAATGGAGACATACTAGATGAAGAAGACATTGAACATCGGAGTTATTTTCAAGGATTGATAAAGATTTTTAAATGTAATTTCAACATTTTGCTAGTTAAAAAAGATCGTTTGTGGTGGTTTCACCCGCTATATTTATATTTAGCTTTGGCGGGACTGCAATGATTGCTTGGGCGAAAAAAACGAACACAGTACCATGCTTAAAATATCAGCACCACGCTAAAAAAAAAAACTGTACAGTAGATTTTATACAAAATTTTACCACAATGACTACTGAAGTGTGGCACTGCAGGCAGTTCCACAATGTTTCCATGACTCTCTATATACTGTAGAGTACTTCAATCGCAACCGCTTCGTGTCACACTATAAATAACGCTTTTAGTATCCACCCTTTAGAATTTTGCACATCAACCTTTAAATTTTGAGGACAACACATTCTGGAATTCCACCACTCTAAAAAAATCCTGGTGAGAGGGCTGGTTCATGATGACTTCATTGCCACAAATTGTGTTACTTGCATATTACTTGGCAAAAGTGACATTTCAAGCTTTTAATGATAAATTTGAAGCCTTATTAACCTGAATTGTTAGACTTGTGATAACCATTTATCATTCAAAATGAATGGAGACAACGGTGACTGGCACTAAACCCTGAAATTAGGCCTAGAACATGTGAGATTCAGCAGTACCAGTAGTAGTTTAAAAAACAAGCTGACCAAATGTCACCGTGTGGGCAACATATTTATTCCATATTTTTTGGCCTTTTCCCCATTATTTTTCTTTAACGGGGAGATTAGTTATCTCTAGTCTTATAAGCTAATCTTTAGTAAACACTACTGTAGAGAATTAAGATAAACATAGAGTTGTACAGTAGCTATACACTATTTCTACAGATGACATGGTACAAGTGAAGATTGTTCGTTTTGCACTACTTTGTAAAGTCAATTTGAGTAAGGATAGGCCCTTAACTCAGCTAACAATTCGTAAAGAGTTTTACATAACTCTTTTAATCTGGCAATTTAATCAAAATTGCCAGATTTAAACAACAACTTTATAGTAACAATCTTCTACATGTTTTCCAAGAATTCAAACAGTCTAATAATAGAAATAAATTACATTTTATCCTCGGAAATGAAAATAACCACTTTTATGATAAGAATATCAATTTCTTAATTGACAAATTTTGCAAATCTTTAGCCAAAAGTCTGTGGAAAAGGAGATGTGACTTATTTAAATGTACATTTGTAATGTGGAGTACAAGATAATCTCAAGTGTAATGAAATAAAATATAAATAATGAAATCATATTTTCAGTTTCACTGATATACCGTATGTTTCAGTGCAAGTTAAAGATTATTTATTATTATGTAATATCTGGGGATGTAATGTCAAGCAAACAAATTTATTGAAGTATTTAATCAGCAGCAAAGATTAAATGACTTCTTGTACTTTACATGTAAAAGATTTTCACAAAATTAAATGACAGTCAGTGACTGTATTGTCCCATTATTTTTTTTTTTACAATTTAAAAAAAAAACACACATGGCTGAATTGCGTATGAATTAACAAAATATAAAAATATGTTAAAAAAATACAGATATTGACACGAAAAAATTTGGTCAAAAGTAATTTCTTTAATAATTGTAGCACAATCTAGTCTAGATGCTAGGGATTTTACAGAAGCCTGAAAGTGGCCCAGCAGCAAGCTACAGCAAGCTACAGGATCTAGCTTCGGCTGAGGCTAGATCCAATGAAACTATCAGACTAATTCCTATTTTAGTCTAGTGGTAAATTCTTAGTATAAATAAATGCAATTTTATTCTTAATTTTTTTCATAGCAGCTACCGATCGTGTACCAAACACACATATTATTGCAAATTTTTGGATCACTTAAAACATCGGAATTCTCATATAACTTCCAAAAAATACATTACGTTGAATCGTAATCTATAGTTAATATCAGTATTTTATTAATAAATAAATTTAAATGTCACATTTTACGACAATTGATGAAAGAAACCTTGCACAGTTTTCATACAGCATGCACAGTTTAAAACGAGTTTGACACAACATCTGTGATTGAAATGAGCAAAAAGCACAAACTGTGCATGATATCAATTGTAAAAAAACTTAAAGTACAGGCCTGGGCCTACATTTTTATTGGGTTTTTAGACAGATTTAATCAATTATTAAGGCCTGCTTCCCCAAAAGTCCAATGTAGTATTGAAATTTTATGACTAACCTGTTTCCTGACAGTAGACCTACTGTAGGGCCTACTGTAGGCCTAGAGGATGTACAGTATAAGACAACTCCTGACAGTTGCATTATGATGTGCACACACACTGCAGTCAACACGTCTTATCGCTCTCTACAGACATTTATTCCTAATGTTGAAACTATCAATTCACCATTGACCATCATCAGTATGATGGCTGCTGGCACAAACAGGCCTAAGCCAGCACTAATGAAGTTTCGCACATAACTTTTAATTTTTTAAATTATTTTACCTAAATATTTTTCTCACAGTCAAAACATATAATTATACTGTAAACAGGTAACATATGATTCAACCACTCACCAAGTACCCTTTATAACAAAAAAAAACACCTTTATAAAAACAATAGCACAAGACTGCCATTTTGCAATCAGTAATAAATTACCAGAATGTCGGAGCATTTTTTCACAATTCTTAAATTCTGCTAAATTTTCTTTGGTGCATCATTGGTTTTGCGCCTTTTTTTGGCATTTTTCCATTTTGGGACAGCATAAAAATAGATAATAATTTGTAAACTCTTGGACAATGCATGATATTTTTTATAAAGTAAGAGTTTCTTAAAATATATACTGTACAAAAAAGAACCAATCACAGTAACTTATTTATTAAACCCACATCAGTGAAAAAAACCACAACAGTTCTATCTTAAAATTATGTTCAGTTCCATCCTAAACTTAACATGGCTCAACCACTACCACTTGCCAGATCAAAACGAGTTTGAATGAATAGTAACACAGTTAGGGCTGAGATTCAGACAAGATAGAAATTCTTTGATAGACTGGTATCGACTGTAGGGTCTATGGTTTAAAAATTTAAGAACTGAAAAAAAAACTTGAGACATTTTGGCAATTTATTACCGATTGCAAAATGGCAGCAGCTTGTCATGCTAGCGAGCACAGAAACGCTGTATTTATAGTTTTTTTTTTTTTTTTTGTTGAAAAAGGTACTCTGTGAGTGGTTGAATCAGGAAAAAATGTTTTATAATAATAGTGTTGTGACTGCAAGAAAAACATTTAGGTAAAAAAATTAAGAATTAAAAGTTGAGTGCGAAACCGCATTAGCGCTGCCTAGGCCAGCGCTAATATGGTTTCACATCCAGCCAAAAAATTGACTACAAAGTTATCTAACACTTACAATTATTCAACAGTATATTCTTTGTTGATTTGACTTTCGTTTCATATAATCCACTTATCCGATAATTCTGGTTGCTGATTTAAGTTAATCAACGGTTAATTAATTAGGACCGTTAACATCTTCACAGTGTACCATCTTACCGTACACACCCAGGTTGTAGTACATGCCAACAGCTTTGGGGTGTTGCCAGAATCAGTGTTCGTACTTCAGTCTAAAATATATAGTATATTATTGTGGGGTAGCCATAGATGTGCACTAAATTTAGGTGTGCCTCTAGTGGAAATAGTATGAAAGTCACTCAAAAAATTGACAAGAAAGCCATTCTATTCTACATTTTGCGTTTATTTAGGCATCAACAAAAATAATTACTTTTGGTGTTTGGCTTCAAGCTATTGTTGCTTATTTATATGCCTCTCTCTGTACTCCCTGCCATGATCTCATGTAAGGGCTAAACTTCAGTCGGTGGGATAATCAGTGTTTCTTCATTTAGTTCCGATTTCAATTTATTAGGGATGACGCCTTTTACTACCATTTCTGGTAAGTCATTCCAATCACTTTATTGCTCTTACTGAGACGATAAACTGCCTTAATTTGGATGGGTGGATGCGCAACCGTATCAACGCCACCAAGGCTAGCCAAGGTCTCCCAGGCCTAGGTAGAGCGGTACTACTATTAGGCCTAGCTAGTGGTTAGTAGTAGCAGGCCTAGGCCACTGATCTCTACTATAATAGCTGGATTGCTCATTGGCTGGTTTTAATGAGGCCACCGACGCCATGTTGGGAGGCCTAAGAGAGGTATTATTTTATTTTAGACAAGATTCTTTTGGCATTTGTTTAAATTATTGTTAAAAATAACTATTCTTGTAAAACTTTTTAATAATAAATTTGAATTTAAAGTAATTATTATTATTATCATCTATCTATTGATGTGACTTTTTCCTTTGTTAGGGATCTATGTCACTATAACAACGCAACTTCGCTCGCGCTTTTGAAAACTGCATAAACAGTCGGATTATGACCGGTTGAGCCGCCGACAAGTTGAGCCGCCGGTCATTTCTATGGAACGCCAAGCGCGTCTCTCAGTGAATGTAGTGCGTTAATTGCGTCGTATTTCAATTAACTTATTCGTTCTTGGTACTGTTGTTTGGGATATATTTCAGTTTATTTACTCAATTATTTCAATTTATTTAATACTCAGTTTTTGCACTGATTTATTAAATATTTTTGGGACTTATTTGAATTTATTTACTTGTTCTTTCATTCGTTTTAATTTAAATTTTGTGAGTATTTGTTCAGTCAGCTTGCCAGATAGTAAAAAAAAAAAAACTCCATACATTCTTATCATTTATTATATATAAGTTCAACAAATAGTACAAAAAATAAAAATATATAAATTACAAAACCATAGTAAATACTGTATAATAACATAGGCCTAACACATTT